CTGAATAGATTATTGATTTCTGGAAAACCGGGCTTACTTCTTCCATCGTGGCAATCAAAGACTCGGTTGTAGCTTTGAATAGCGAAGAGCTGCTGCTCAAAATTTTTACCCTCGCTGCTCAGCTCCGCCGCATGTTTCGGCAACCTCTGCAGCGCTATTTTTCTTAATATACAATTCGACTCTGCCTGTTCCGTAGCAATCGAATTCGATTCAGATCGTCAACGAAAAGCCCAGATTTTGACAGAATATTTTCGGGATCGGCCATTTCGATATAGGGAAACGCTCGAAAAGAGATGCTTGGAACTAGGTTGTTATGGTTACGGCTATACACTTTGCCTTAGGTTGTTCTAGCGGCTATATTTTTCATAGAACTGCTCGTCCAGATAATAAAAATCTATTTTAAAGATCCGTGATAATCACGAATTCCAGGACTGTCATTACCGCAGCTTCCGGTGATGAGCCTGCTAAGAGAAATTTCCTGGCACGCCGGGGACGCCAGCTGGTCTTCGAGATGGACGATGCTAACGAGGGATACCCCTGGGGTAAATTTGCTCATGATTTTTTCAGGATCTTTGTGCCCGTGTGAAAGCAGTAAGCCCCTGGAGAAATACCGCGGCAAGGGTCTCATCAGCATCCACTTTGACATGGAAAAGGGCAGAGCCGTCTTTTTCACCACCCAGGCGATTGGCCCCAAGGTATGGCTCTCCAACTTGCGTCTGATCAACAACTTTCCAGGAGATTTGCGAGGTGTTCTTCGATTGCGGCTGTGAAGTCGTGTCGCAAGTCGTCAGGATTGATGGTGTGGAAGAGCGTTTTGGTATGTTTGTACTTTCGACCAGTAGACCCGGTTTTTCAGCGATGTACGCAAGTGAGCGCGAGCAACGCGTCGAAAAGAACGTGATGCCTTTGCCGGACTAATACCTTGACGAGCATCCCACCAATTTCGACCCGTCCAGCACCCTGGTCCCCAAGGAACATGCCGAGCGCAACGGTTGGATATCGTCGGTGGCCAGCTACGTGAAATGGTGGTGAACAAGTCTCTTATTACTCTTAGCACACATCGCTCATATTCTTTTGTTGTAACTGTTCATCCTGATGAAGCTCCTCATTGCCGATCTCGTGCTATTTGACGTTGTAAATATTCCCATCGTTACCCCCGTTTTTCTGCTAGGTGTCTCCCTATCCCGAGTCTTGGCGACCTGTATTGCGCAATTGTTCACTGGTGTGTATCTCCTCAAGTTACTTGCTTCTTGCCAAGCTACCATTTCCGTCTAACCGTTATTGAATGAATGTTATATCTGGGAAGATTCGTTGCGGCAGCCATAGGATTTCATCCACGCATAGATACCCTCGAAACACGCTTTACAGAAAGGGCAAGACAGACGTCGAGTTTTCCCCCGCTAGACGACGGCGAGAAACGGCATCATAAAAGTTTTCCGGTAGTCCGGTGTTCCGTTTCGGCTGAAGCCGAGCTTAAGTTAGGCTTTAATTTAGCTTGTTTTTAAGCTCGAGCTTATCACAACTGGGCTTGTTTTGGCGTCGCTTAGCTTTCACATGAACTTAGAGCGCCGTCGAACCACTCGGGTCAGAGCGGCAGACCTGCCAGCAAAATTTCGAGCGGGGCACACTTGCCGGCAGACCTGGGGCAGAACTGTGGCAAACGTGCCGGCAAGCCTCAATAACAAAGCGCGCTGCTCTTCATCTTCATCTCATTTACATTATTATACAACTTTAGGTTTACTGTTACAACAGGTACTTTTTATTCTCTGTAGATGCTTTCAGGCTCTGCCTATTTACGGATTTGAGGTTAGTGGAAGACGATTTCAGGATCACACAAACGAAAAGTTATATGTTGCGGAAACGAAAAATGAAAATGTATTGAGGTTTATTTTTTTAGCGGAAACTTTTCAAATCTTACTTATTTCAGAACATGTTTTAGCGCTATCGGAGAAATGAAAGGTGCGTTGACTTTTTGTCGTTTACCATGATCCCATCTTTATAGATGCTTCGATAGCTGATGGCGCTTGTCTAGATGAATAAAACATGATGCCAGCGAACCCCCGCTGCGAGGCGTTCGGCGCGCCAAGTCTCTTTTTAATAAAAAAAAGAGTTGTACAGGTTTATTTAGATAGTTTAATTGCTTCGCTGATGTGCTAGAACGCGAATGCTTACAAGAATACGTCGTGAAGTACCCCGCGGTTAATAGATTGCTCGAAGCCTGCTATGTCCATCCGCAAGACGTCCGAGGGCTTCACATAAAACTAGGTTGTTTTTCACGTTTCATAATTTTCCGATTTTAGGCAACGTAACAGCAAAAGGAAGTTTCAAGCAGCGTCTAACCACGGCGGTGGTTTTGGATTGGCTCCGAAAGATTCGTTGAATTAGGTTCGGACAACAAGTAAGTTGCTGTCACAAAATATTTAGTGTTTTCCAAGTCGACCACGGTTTGAGAAAAGCGGCAGCCATTTAGCCATCTGATTGCACCCGCACTAACACACGAGCGTAAGTTTTAAATCAAAGCGGCCTATATGTATGTAATTTCATAACAATCAATAAAGGGAAAACCGAGTGAGCAAGTAAACTTTCCAATTTTCTTATGATAACGTAAATTAAGCGAAGATGTTTAGGACAGGCTAGTGCAGTGGCCAGCCAAGGACGCTGCTTCACTTCGCTAAGGTGCGCTAGCCACTGCGCTTTTTGAAACAGAGCAGGTGAGCCATAACTTTGAAAACCACTCAAATATTAAAAGAAACCTCAGGAACTCTCTGAATCATCAATCAGAACTATTCCATTGCAGGCCCCAGATAAATCTGTGAAGCTACATCCCCCAGCTACGGAAATACTTCTTTCCGTAGGTAGGGGATGTAGATTTGGGCTATATTTATAGCTTAGACTATAAATACAGCAATTAATGAATAGTGAAACCCATGCCGGCACGTCTGCCCCTCCCCAGGTCTGCCAAGCCCCAGGTCTGCCGGCACGTCTGCCAAAAGGCTTTTGGGGCAGAACTGCCGGCGATCGTGGGCGGCAGGCCTGCCCCAAGGCTTGCCGGCGGGTCTGCCGCTCGGACCCGAGCACTTCTTGCAGTTATAAGTCCATGTGCTTAGCTTTGCTAAGATTACTTTGTGCCATCAATGTGTTAGAAACGTATCTGACGTACGGAACTTCTAAACTTACAGAATAGGCCTCAAGTTCTATTATTCAAAGCTAAAAAGCCGGTTGAACCGTAGATTACTGAAATAACGGAGAAATAAGCTTTAAATAATATTTCCGTTACTGAACGTACTGACTTTAATTTCAAAAGTAATTGCAGTTCGAAAAAGAGCAACGCTACTCGATTTTTGGACCCTTGCAAGCCAGGCTTCACGATAAAGCACCCTCTGGCGTGTTCTAATATTAATTACAGTATATCATAGTACTAAAAAGTAATTTATGATGTTTTACTAAGTAAAAATCAAACGTAATTCAGCCGGAACGGACTACTGAACTACCGGACCACTTTTTATGAATGGCCGTTTAGCCCGTCCGATCGGCCCCTTTAAAATCCCCGATTTCGGTGGCTCCAAAATCGAGCCGATTTTCCGTTTTTTTACAATCCCCGATTTCGTACAAAATCCCCGATTTCATACAAAGTCCCGGTTACCAAAAAGAAACCAAAAAGTATTATAGCCAGGTGAAAACTTTGACTAACTTTCTATTGAAGCCGGATGTAGATGTCAAGGTGAAACGATTTTGCACTTTATTGAATACTCGCTAGTCTAGAGTTTGCTAAAAATACAAATTAGGCGCTCTGGGCAAACATTTAGCTTCGCTATGATGCACTTTGTCTTAAATGCCTCATTTTTTCAACCCCAAAACGGACCGGGGCCCGATTGCCGTGTACGATTTTCAGGAAACCTTGACCAAAAGATGGAACAGAAGCTTTTCTATTTTTACGTAGATTATGAAAATTTCTCAAAAAAGTTGTTAAAAATAGCAAACAGCACCCCTTGAAATGAAATGGGAAACATTAGCTAGTAAAAAAATGGAAGCTAGCTTTGCCAATGCATTACGTGAGTCGATTGGAGCGCCCCGTTGCTCCAGCCCCTCGCCCGTCTCGTGCGCGTTTTATTAAAGGCTGAATTTTAGTGTTCAGCAGATAAGGTCGATCTTCGCAAGCGTTATATGGAGGCTGCACTAGGGTTCTAACTTTGCTAAGGTTTCAGTTTGTCATAATAATTTTGCGCTATTTCTGCAAGCTACTGCCAAAATCTTACCGTACTTTGGAAAGGTGGGGTCGAAAAACTATTTTGAAATGGATTGAGAATAGAATTTCGAAATTTCAAATGTCGGCAACTCCGTATTTTGTTGTGAACTTTAAAAAAACGTGATGACAGATCGATAGAGAATTTTTTCGCTACGACGCTTTCAGCCTCCCGGCGGTTTGATAGCTTACAGAAAAAGTTATGTTCAAAATATACTGATTTTCTTTGGCTTCACGTTTACTTTTATGGATTTATTTTTTATATTTTTATTTATTTTACCCGCGCCGGGTGCTTAAAGTGCTACTCAGGGAACAATGGAGGGGGGTCCGACTTTTTTCTAATAATCAAATTTTTCTAATAAAATAGATGAAGCGTTTATAAACTGTGGTTTTTTTGATACTCCTTAAACGTGAAAACCTTACAAATTTTTGGTTCAGTTTACGAGGCACTCGATCAATAGAAAAGATGCGAAAATCCCCCATAATGCGAAAAACCCTTCCATTAACTTCAGTACTTCGCGTTGGTTTAGCGAATCACGCTCGGTGATCATCATTGTTATTTTCTCCTTGACGTTGAGCTTGTTCACGACTTTTCCGATTTTATCCTCTCGTTCTCGAGTTATTCGCATATGGGTAGAGAGTGCGTGTAAAGCATTATCCTTTGTTTTCAGAACACCCACGGAAAATGGCCGCAAATATTCGCCTACAGATGAATGAGAAGACAGTCACCGTGCGCCTCTCGAGCAGGGCACTGACGATGACCACTGTACGCAGCCAGTTCTTCATCTCGCCTGATTCGATCATCTCGCTGAGTTACGACGATGTAGATGGCCGAATTGGATGCGAGTAAGCCACTTTTGACGTTTTCTGATTGCAACTCAATCATTTAGGGTAAACGAGGAAGGCTCGGCCTTTCTACTGCCCGAGGGATGGTCGTCTCTTCTGTTTTTCGTCGAATCGCAAGAGCTCTCCCGGCCGCAGACACCGATCCATCCGCCTAATGAACGTCCTCCAAGTCCGTACTACCCGGCCGGTAGGGTTTTACTCAAATTCATATTTAATCAGGGTTGAAAAGTCGCGAAGCGGCTGTTCAACCCTGGCCCCGTCGGATCCAGGCCTGGGAAAGGAAACAACCCTAAGCCTAAACCCAAAATTTTGGGCCCCGTCCCGGCCCTACCGCCGAGATCTGGGCCCGGGCCGTCCCTACATTTTGACCTTAGCTAAAGCCATGCATTAGAGGAGTCCGGACATCAGCTGAGAGTGCTTTAGATGTCTCAGAGTATGCCAAATGGCTTTGCAGTGATTTCGGAATGTTCCTGGTAGAAAAAGGCAAAAAAGAAAAATTGACGTAACTTTGATCAATAATTTGGTTTTTTTTGTTTGAGCTGTGTTGATAGATATCGTAATCTCTACACATGTAAAAACAATACAAATTATTGCTGTATAATCGCATTTAAATATATTTCTAATTATTCGGGAAGGTCGGGCCGGCCCGGCCCTCCAAAACCGCCAGAATCTCGGCCCGGGCCTGGTCGGATCCCATGATATTTTTCGCTTTGCATAATTCTCGCGATTTTCCATGACAAGAAAAGGAGAAACGTTACCTCTCTGCCGTTATATACGGTACCTCAATCCGGAGTATTCTAATTGTTTCCTAACAAAGAGGTTCTCGATTTTTCGATCAAAACTTAATTGTAACGTTGAAAACAGCCAATTTTTGTGCGTGTGCAGTTATCCCAGAGTATAATCCGCGAAAATTATCTGAGTTAGGATTTGCGATATCTTTTTTAGTTCCACCGGAAGCGGCTCCGGCACCCAAGGCGTTCCTGCAATGGATGTACTACCAACAAGATGCCGCGGACGGGCAAAAGGATACGGTGGTTTGCATCCACCCGCGATATTTCGTGACGTTCCGCCACGGGACGCATTTGCGGTTCCAACTTGCCGATGAAGTCATCATATACAAGGCCGAGAACGAGCTAGGCGAAACACAAGGAATCTCTGTATCGGTGGTCAAGATCAATGAGGGACTGGATTTCATACTGCTCAAAAGCCAGTCGGAAGTTGTCGAAGTAAGTTCTTAAAATATTTCTTATATAGGCCGTCCCATAAAAACACCGTTACTTGAGTATTCGCGGGGCCCGAACTTTTTCGGCCCAAGCCTAGATTTTTGTAGAACTAGCGGATGTATTTTTATATTGTTCCTATTTCTTACCATAAAAACTCCGCAAACTTTAATTTTAGGTAGAACGATCAATTTTTCCGGCTCAAATGACAAAATCTAGCTTTTTTTTAACTTTAAAAAGCTTTTCTGCTTCCAATATGGTTCAATTTTTCTAAAAACGATGTGGAAACACTTTATTTGATTAGAATGCCCACCTGGGCCGCCAGGACAAAAAGTTAGGTCCCCCAACCGCGACGCAGAAGCATCGGATCGGCACGATAGTTCGAAAGTCCTTGACGGGTGTGTAATCTTCTTCATAACCATATTTTTACGTACACGCGTTCCTTTAACACGAATTTGTAAAACATTAAGGGCTGTCGGTCTAACAAACTGTCGCCATCCCCGTTTAACCGGGTTTTCGAATGGTCAACTATCATTCCGATCCGATGCTTGGCCTTAGAGTTAGAAGGGCTGTTTTTTTTATTAGGGCTCCATGTGGTTACTAATTTACGTATTTTTAGAAAGGACCTTCGATTGCGCGCGCTGAAGAAGCAGAGCCCTTCACCCTTGCTGGATACGGAAATGTCTACAATAGTCTGTCGTACTTGCCAGGCGCCATCCATACAATATCGGAGTATTACTGAACGGACCCAATGCAACCATGGGCCCTTTCTCCTCGGGACGAGTCGCAGCCCAGGGGAGATCGGGAAAGCTTATTAGCTTTTGGTCAGTTAAAAGACTTTTAGGCGCTGGTATCTGGGGATCCCGCGGGCTAATTGGCATTAACTGCGGATGCACCATGATGCCATCGCAACCGCATCAAGAGGCGATTTCGGAAGCGGCCACCTTCAGCGCTAAAAACATAATTACTCCCGCTCTTCGGTTGAAGGACGCCCTCATGGTATGCTTTTTTTCAAAACTTATTTATTTTATTTAGGAGTGCTTACAAGATGAGCGCAAATCTGACAAAGTCGAGTCGCCGCCAGCGAAAAAGCCGTGCTTTGTGACGAAATTTGACGGGTTGGGCGAGTTCGTTGGAAGTGTGGAATAGACGTGTCGACGATCGGCAGAAACGGTGAACCAATAACGCGACCTCTTTCCACCACGTTACTCTGGACCATTTATGCTTCCCTTTTCTCGTTCAAAAAATCTCTGTACAAAAGTCGTTTTTTTCGTTGCGTGTATGTGCTCTCTGGAATTCTTTGCCTGAATCTGCCTTAGTTAGTTAAAAACAGGTTTCCTTGATCGTACCTATTTCATCCATTTGCCCGTTGTCTTGTCCACGGGCGTTTAGGGCGTGCGTGGGGTAGGGGGCGGGCCGAGGCCGAGTGGTCTCAAATCTTGCCGGAATTGCAGCAACAAATTTTAGCCTCCCAGGACCAAAAAAGTGGCTGATTTGACATTGGCAATGTTTTCCCAAGTAAATTCAGTGAAAAACCACAAAGAATGAGCCTGAATTCAAAGAAAAACGCTTCGCACAAAGGACTGAATTTGACACTTTTTGAGCTAAAAAGCTATAGAAGTTCTTATTTCTGCTGTAGATCGGCCTGAGACCTGTTCCATAACATAGCCCAGACTCTTCTCTACATTCCTAGAGCAGCGCTCCCGATTCACATGGCGTTTTCAAAAGTTATAGCGATTTGAAGTTCAAAATTTTTGACCATTTTCGGCCCTTTCTATGCACGCCCAGAAATAGCGGCAATAAGGGCCTAAGCAACGCGACGCTCCATTCGTCAAGAAAATGTATGGGGCCCAAATTTCGAAGCCTTATAACTTCAAAACTAAAGGGAATCTTAAAAAGTCGATTTCCAACTTTGTAGAATCGGACACGGCGATTCTAATGATACCAAGAACTAAGAAAACTGAATTCAAAAAGTATCGAAACGAAGGCGATTTTTATTTCGTTTGAATTTGGGGAGATTTGGCGGGCTTTGCAGGGTCGTTTGTATTGGTGTGTAGCGAACGGCCCTGGGAATGAGATAGCCTATTGAAAACTTAAAATGCTTATAAAAATCTGCTGCTTCATTGTTAAGACATGACCAGTATACCAAAAAATTCTCCTTTTTTCGGGCTACAAAACGAACGACCGGTCAGGATGCCGACATGCCAAATCGCTGAGAAAAATTACGAAAAAGGTCGAGCCACCTATCCTTTTGTCACAAACTGTAGTAAGAAAGTAAAAGGAAACGCCTGGTAGTGATTCTAGCGCCAAATTCTATTTTATTTCACTTATCTTTTACATTTTCCTGTCCGATTACCCAACTAAAAGATTCGAACCCAATGTTGCTTGCCGTTGTGGTACGTACGTGCCGTGAAGCGCCCCGTAGCCTTCCGCCTCAAATTGCCGAAAATCTATGCATTTGAATGGGCGTGTATGGGGAGATCATGGATCGCGGAGCGTGCACAGTACACGCGTGGCCATTGGTGTATCCTGGAGCCGCCCCTCCTCTCACAGGCGCTTTCCCTATTTTCTGAATGCCCGTGTGTCTTGTCTCTGATCTTCTCTACATGTTTTTTCCCGGCTCAAAAATAAAGCTTTTTTTCTCTCAACTTTGTTCAGGCTCTCAATGAGATCAAACGGTTCGATCGCAAAGCGTCCCTTTGGATCGTGATCAGTTCACAGAAAATCTTTTGCATTTTTGAATCAAAATTTCAAAAAAGGAATAGTAAAATACAGTTTGGAAGCAGTTCCGCGGTATTTATGTTGGAAAACCGGATGCGGAGCACGGGGATTTCAAAGTAAGTTCACTTAAAAACGTGGATTTCCAGAGTTGTAGAAGAAACTGCGCTGATTTGAATGTCCTAAACTCAAAATAAAAAAAAGCTGAATTCAAAAATTAGTTGCACCAAGGCTTTGAAGTTTCCGGTCTTGGACTAGAGTTTGGTTGGAAACGGGATGTATTGGAGCTTCGCGTAGCCCCATTTTCGGTCCAAATGCCCCATTTTTCCTAGCGGCCGCAAACGATCACCGAGTAATGGATATCGGCAGATAAATGGCTTTTTTGAAAAGAAAGGACTTTCCACTTCTCGAGATGCTCGACAACTTGGCCAAGGACGAGCGGCCGCCAATCCAGAAATATGTACTGCAGGTTGTAGATCTTTTATTTTTTTCCTAATCATTGATTTCAGATCCTCGGACAGTTGACGGATAACAAAGAAGACTGTGCGCTGCTCGGCGCCGTCCTCGTCCTCTCCATCCCTTTCACCGCTGAAGAGGCCCAGGCGTCTGTTTCGCTGGACGTATTCGGCAAATCCAAAGCACCCTTTCGCCAAAGAGGTATTCAACGAGATTTTTACAAAAAAAGCAAATTAATCGAAATTTATTCGTTACTAGTAGCTTGAAATGAACTGCTGTATGTAATCGCGCTGTTTCTGGCTTCCGGTGATGAGCCTAGTGAAGAGAAATTTCCTGGCACGCCGGGGACGCCAGCTGGTCTTCGAGATGGACGATGCTAACGAGGTATCACCCTAGAGTCATTTTGTTAATTATTTTTTTTCAGGATCTTTGTGCCCGTGTGAAAGCAGTAAGCCTGGAGAAATACCGCGGCAAGGGTCTCATCAGCATCCACTTTGACATGGAAAAGGGTAGAGCCGTATTTTTCACCACCCAGGCGATTGGCCCGAAGGTATGGGTCTCCGGGTTGCGCCTGATCAACAACTTTCCAGGAGATTTGCGGGGTGTTCTTCGATTGCGGCTGTGAAGTCGTGTCGCAAGTCGTCAGGATTGATGGTGTGGAAGAGCGTTTTGGTAAGCTTTCCACTTTCCCCAGTAGATCCGATTTTTCAGCAATGTACGCAAGTGGAGCGCGAGCAACGCGTCGAAAAGAACGTGATGCCCTTGCCGGACTACCTTGACGAACATCCCACCAATTTCGACCTGTCCAGCACCCTGGTCCCCAAGGAACATGCCGAGCGCAACGGTTGGATATCGTCGGTGGCCAGCTACGTGAAATGGTGGTGAACAAGTCCCGTATTACTCCCTAGCACAGATCGCTAATATTCTTTTGCTGTAACTGTTCATCCTGATGAAGCCCCTCATTGCCGATCTTGTGCTAGTTGACTGTTGTAAATATTCCCATCGTTACCCCCGTTTTTCTGCTTACGTGTCTCCCTATCCCGAGTCTTGGCGACCTGTATTGCGCAATTGTTCACTGGTGTGTATCTCCTCGAGTTACTTGTTTCTTGCCGCTACCATTTCCCGTCTAACCGTTATTGAATGAATGTTATGTATCTGGGAAGAATCGTTGGTGGCAGCTATAGGATTTCATCCACGCATAGATACTCTGAAACAAGCTTTACAGAAAGGGCAAGACAGACGCCGAGTGTTCCCCTGAGGGCTCGGAGCATTGGGAGTGCACCCCGTGAATGACCCCGACCCCTGCTGGGACGACTGGACCAGCCACTCGAGCGGTTGATTCATCCTGGGAACGCGACGCATACCCCTTCACTTCGCACGCTCCGCGCGTATCCCTTTGAGATTAGAAGATATAATGTATCGCGCGCATTTTATAACGTTTATTAATACTTTTTAATAGTTTTAGTAACCGCACTTTCTATATGTTGAAAAAGGGACTAGCGTCGTTCATGAAATAACTTAAACTTTTGACCTCCGCTGACCTCCACAAGTATCCGCGCGTGCATTTCTTTTGAGATTATCCGATATAACGTTTTCCAGAGTATTGTTTTATACTTGTAGCAATTACGTTCGTATGTTCTTCCCATTGAAAACCTAACCAGGCGCTTTGAGAAAATAGCTTCATTTTCAGCCAGCTAAACCACGCCAAAATCCGGCATTCGGCTAACTTGTTGAAATGCGGGATCCGGGAGGCCCATCGTCGACCGTTTCAACAATATGCACGTGTCCTCCGATCAGGATTACATCAGAAATTTGTACCAGAAGCATCAAGGTAATTGCTCCGAGGTTTTCTGTTTCGTGGCCGAATTTTCAGTTTGCCGGCTTTACTATTTTTTTCCGGCCCTTATAAATATAATTTTTTAGATGCGGAAAGGCTATATTCGGCGACGCGTGCTGCCAGGATCCGCAGCGCAATGTTCGGAGACTGGGAGGCCGGATTTGCAGAAGAAAATGGGCAAGAAAATATCAACGGGGAGCAGCCGGTAAGATATGTGGGCCTGGAATTAGTTAGGTTAATAAACACACACTGAAACGCTCGAAAATAATCACGCGGCGTTATAATGATCCAAAAACTAAGGATCTAGTCATTTTATACAATTCAACTTTACAGGCGTCACGACTTTTGCTGTTCGAACGTCTCGCTGGCGACAGTCGCCGTTTGCGATCCGCCGTCGAAGCGCTCCTCTCGATTCAGGTATGTCTGCTACACCGCCGCCCAAAATTCATTCCCGCCCGAGCGCGCTTGTTTTATGTTTTTGTTTCGGCTGACACACACGGGCCGTTTTAGATGTCGCTCGACGACATGACGATGCATTCTATACACGATCTGATAGCGTTGATGAGCGACTCGGATCCGGTACGGCCTCATTCAATCGGATTTTCAATTATAACTTCAGAGCATCGTCGTGCGCGCCGTCCAACGAGTCTACATTCTCTGCAAGGAAAACCAGTCGACGAGCGAGAATGCGAATCTCGTGGCGAAATTGGTCGAAGTGTCAAGGTCGGCTCATTCTTCTCGTCTAACGCTTAAAGTTGTATATCGGAAATTTTCTTGATTTTTCGACATTGGCCCATTGAAGTCGGCGGTAATCGGATACGGCTCGCTGCCATCTTTTCTCGCCCCCCTAAAGGCCTGGCAGCGTCACGCAAACAGACCGCTTCCATCCTGGGAAGAAGCCCCGGATTCCGCTACCCCAGATTGCTTTTACTCTAAAAAAGATGCCGACGCAAAATCCGATTTCCGCAGACAAAGAACTATTTTTCTTCAACCTGATCTCGCGCGAGGAGTTCTATAAGAGCAATTATGGGTCAAAATTTATCTCGCTGATTTATCGGTGAATTTTTAGGATAAAGAAAATTTATTTTGGAAGCCGTTATGCAATTTTGGATTTAATTTTGCCTTTCAGGTCCGACAATGTGGCCATCAAACGCAGCGCCATGGGCGCCTTGACGAAAATCTGGAAAATCCGACTGGTCGAATGCATCTCTTCCGGTCCGGCGGACTGGCGGAACTCATCCGAATGTTGTATTGTCCTGTGGAGGTATTTTAATTCTTGGTTTTTTTGTAAAAACTGCATCTTTTTGTAGGTCGTCGTTCGCTACGCCGTGGCGACTTTGCGAAACCTTCTCCTACACCTTGACGCCGTCAAAGAACAGGCCCGTGCCCTCGGAGCAGTTCAAGCATTGTCACCACTACTTTTGAGGTAATCTTTGAAAGGTTATTTTTGGATTTTACATAAATGGAGGAAGTATGTACAATTATGGATTTGGAAACAGTAACTCTTTTCAGAACTGACCCCCGAATGCTTGCCCACGTTGCCGACTCGTTGTATACTCTACCGAGCATTCCCACAGCAAGTGAGTATAAATTTGTAAAGTATTTTTTACCACACTTTTAGAACGGTTTTCCTCTCCCTCGGGGGCCTGCAGACCCTTGTCGAATTGCTAATCGATATGAATCACTAAAGTTGATCTACACGGTTCTCAGGTATGTATCTATCTAAATCCAATTATTGTCATTTTTAGGTGTATAAAGTCGCTGAGTGTATGCCCGCAGAACAAGGCGGCGCTGATCTCCCTGGGCTGTCTCCCAGTCCTTACACCGAATCCTGGGCCAAACAAACGGTCGCGAGAACGTACCGGGCGATTCTCGCATCGATGCGGAATCTCAGTGAGGCTGCCACGAACGAGGAGAATCTGTCGCAGCTGGTAAGATTTTGGGGTTTCTACGGTTCTGGTGAGTTAGCGGGGCGGCTGCGATTTAAACGTACTATCATGTTTATGTTCAGGTTTTCAGGACCTATTTTTCATTATAAGGGGAAAAGTGATGCCCGAAAAGTTTTTTTATGGTTTCCCGCAAGGATGAACCAGCGGTTTTTCTACAATCCCTGATTTAGGTAAAACGCCTACTCGGTGTCGTCCGTGCCTCCGAAGACGCGCAACATGTCGCCTGCGCGTGCGGCATCCTGTCGAATTTGACGTGCAACAACATCCGGAATAAGCAGACCGTCTGCTCGGACGGTGGCATCGCCGCGTTGGTCGATTGCCTCCGGCGATTCCCCGACGTCGAAGAAGCGACAGAGCCGGCGTTGTGCGCGTTGAGGCACTGCACGGCGCGGCATCAATTCGCTGAACAGGCCCAGCTTGGATTTGCGGGGTAATTTCGGCATTGTTTTCAAAGGAAAAAATTTTGCTTAGTTTATCGAACGTTCCCGCAGCTCCATCATCCCGTTCTCAACCCTTCGCGCCCCGGTCGTGTAAGGCTGCGCTGGGCGTTGTTAGGAATTCTGCGTTGCTCCAGGATAACCTCATCGAGTTGACCCAGGCAAGAAATCTTTGATAATCTGGAAATGCAAAATTTAGGAGACGTCCCTGACCGGCAAGACTGCGGTATCGCTGGCTATGGAAGTCTGGATCCTGGCCGTCAACAAATTACGCGTGAGGACCCGAATGCCGAAACGGACGGCGTCCTGATGTGGGGCGTCGTTGAGGGGTCTGTCTCGGCTCCCCTCCACCAGCTGGTTACCGACAAACAGGTAAGAAATGTTCTTGAAGTCGAAGCACTTTGGATCTCTAGGTTGCGATGGGATTTGGGGCAGCAGACCGAGGCCTTGATACTGACCTACGAGCTGCTCAGGGACCCCTACGTCTCGCAATCTGATGACGAGGTGAGCATTTGCGATTAAAAAAAAATTGGGTTTTTCAGGTTCTGGAGCGAGAATTGCTCGGCTCTCCTACCAAATAGCCCAAAACAGCGATGGAGCGAGCGCGATCGATGAAGCCGGTTTCATGCCGATTCTGACCGACTGTCTACAGTGGCAACACTCCGTTCCGGTTGCCACATACGGATCGGGGATTCTGAAACGGCTCGAATCCGATCGCCCTCCGCAATATCGGTACGCTTCTGATCTAAAGACGAAAAGCTTGGCATTATAGACAAGAACTCGACATGGAGGCGTCATCCGCTGGCGGCGAGACGGCATGGAGCCCGAGCTGTTCAGCGAGATGTACCGCCCGGGCAGCATGGTTGGCCACCCGATCGGCTCGGACGGCGGCTGGTACGACACGGACCTGTAACCCGGAATTCTCTCCCTCAAATTGGTCGCTTTTACCCGATATCCCACACACGCAAAACCTCATGTTCACTCGCCTTGTTCCATCTTCGCCCAATTGCTAATCAAGCCTTCTGTATGTACACGTTGATAACCAGCTACCACATTGGCCAGTCCTACTACTCAAAGTTCCTGTTTTCAAATCTGCTAAAATCGCTATTTATTGCCTGTTCTGTGATTTCCTCATTTGACAATCAAGCCCCCACGATTATTTATGGTGAGTGTGGACTGTAATAAATGAGTTTTTCGACTGGATATGCGAAGAAAGGCGCGATCAACAGTTTGGTGGCTGATATTTGGTTAAAGGCGATGAAGAGCAGGAGAATAGACCGCTTTTTTATAGTGTATGGAGCACGAGTTGTTACTAGAAGTGCGGCGGGACGTGCGGCTCGGCCCTCGTGGCGTGTACGGGTTGGCGGCAAGCGCCCTAGGCAAATTGGCCGTCGTTCGAAGGGTTTGGAATGAGATCGTGACTTGATATTTCCTTTTAGGTGGAAAAGACAGCAGATGAGCCCTCGCCAAACGGCGACGATGTCATCGAGCAGTACAACGTCCTTGGGAGCGGCGTTAGAACACTCCGAATGGTTGGTGTTTTTCTTTCAAAGTAAAACATTTGGGTTTTTTACCTTTATTCAATCGCGTCAAAAAAAAACGTTATCCTGTATCGTAGCAGTATTTCAAGTAGACCAACGGATGCGCAGTTTCCGGAAAAGCTTATTATTCGGTTTTATACGTACATTCAAGTCGATCGAGAAAACGACCAAAAAATTCATTCCCCCTATCATTTTAGCACACCCATGAAAAGAGATAAGGTAACTTCTTCAGATCCACAGCCCAGGCCGAGGCCCAATCGAGTGCCTCTGCTGGGTGGGCGACTTCCTCGTCGTCGGCCACTTTTCCGGCTCGGTCTCCATCATCAACCCACATTCCACAGAAATTGTTGTAAGGGCTTTCAATCGATTCCCATCAAATTTTTTTTTCTAGTCAAATCAACTCTGCTCGAGCTCACTTTGGTCAGTGTGCGCCTTGGAGACGCCTAATTTGTGTGCTTTCGTGTCAAACTCGGCCCAGCTGTTTATTTTCGACATTTCGAGCAATGAGGTTGGTTCTCAGGCCTTTTCCTGGGAATCACAATTTAGGTTGTGCGGCGGAAAAACTTGGGCGTGGACCAGCGCTTGTTTAGCGTCGCGTCGATGGGAGACAAGGTACTGGCGTTTTCGAAATATGTCATTCTTTCTTTCCCAGATTGCTGTCGGTGCCAACGGGCTTATTTTTGTTGTCGACCTGCAGGGGAAGTCACTCTACGAGATTCAGGTATCATTGGCCAAACTGCAAAATAATTCCCGATTTAGGTGGAAAGAGCCGATCGCCAGCTGCCGACGATCGTTTGGGCTCTCACGTTCACTCAGGTGTGCTTAATTTGTCTATAATTTTTATATGTTCAGTCATACGCGGGTCCCACGCTCGTTGCCGGCGATTCGAGAGGCTTCATCACATTCTACAATGCCAAGAACGGTGTTTTGCTCAAGGTATGTCCCTTGGTTTTTACGTTGTACTTTTTGCAGGCCATCAAAAATCACCAGGCTGACGTTCTCGTATTGGTGCCGTTGGCCGGAAAGGACGCACACCCGCAGGTTGACACCTCGTTTTTTTTTAAAGCACAGGTTTAGGTGCTGGCTTCTGGCGTTGACCCTAGAATCACTGTATTGGAGAATAAGGCTTGTTTTAGCTGGATAAATTTGATTAACGGAAATGTCTAGCTTTGTTTATTTGATTTTTTTAGAATGGTAACAGCTGGGAATCCGTGTCTGTGATCACCGGCGCCGAAGGGGACGTCAAAGCGTTGACCGTCTCCGGAACATCGGTAGTTTTATCCCCCAAAAACTTTAACTCGTTGCAGTTGTTTGTCGGTGGAAACGACAGCCTCGTCTACGAGGTGCAACACATATTCGCCCGGAAAAAGCAGGTTCTCGAGAAGATGGCAATAGACTTGACGGGAAGTTAAGACTTTGATTTCCAAAATTTCCGCTTCAGCCGATCGTGCACACCGGCGGCTCATTCAATGGCGGTTTCTGGCCTGAATTACGTGGATCTTTGGGCGTCCCATCAAGTTTCTAGTGAAAATGTTAACGTGAGGATTTCAACGCATTTTACTATTTTTTATTGCAGTTATTCGAGGATATTTTTGTCGCAGAGGAGCCGGTTTTGTTGGCCAGGGTGCTGGCAAAAGGGTCGCAGATTGTCACTTGCTCGTGAGTTTTTTGCAAACTTTCTAGACATAGTTAATTAATTGTTGAACTAATTTTTTAAAATGAAACGTACGTTTTTAGAGCCCTCTCGTCCCGCGGCTCAAAACTGGCCATTTCCACCGGGGAACGGACGCACGTCTACTCGTTGAGCGACTCGAAGACGCAGCCCATCAAAATTCTGCCCGTCACATTCCCGGCCGCCACGGCCATAGCGGTAAATAGTTTCCCATTTTTAACCTCGAATTTAGTTCCACGAAAACTCGATACTCGTCTGCACCGGGGACTTCAAATTGATGCAATACATGCTGGTCGGCGCAGATGCGGGCAATGAAGTTTTAGTGCAAGGTAGCGTTTTGTAATCAAGAAACGGGGATTAAACTATTCTATTCTGATGTATTTTTGCATTATTATTGTATTGAATGGGCTCTTTTGTACCGGGGTGAGGCTGATTCTTTCCTACAGGGCGGGGAATGCTATTTAACGACCAGAAAAAGCTATCCCGAAAAAATTGAAATTTTGTTTGAACGTTCATTTTGGTCGAAAAATCTACATATTGTGTATTTTTTAAGGAAAAATTGTAAAGTCCTTACGTTTAATAATATTATAAAACAATTGAGAAACACTTCCTTTTTACGTCAGAAAAATGGATCCTTGGGAAAAAACGTTTGTCACCCCGATAATGCGAAAGTTCCTTAAATTTTGTTATTGATGGTGTTTGTATAAAAATAATTCATTACAGAAAAATGCGGAATCGTCACTTCGATCGTCTCCCTCGAGGGTAGCTCCACGGCCGCTCTCCTCACCTCGCGGGCCCAAATTTTTGTCGTCGACCTCGCGAAGGGCACCTCGAGCCTCGTTCGAGTGAGTCTCAATTTCTCATTAACCTCAAAGTCTAATTTCCAGCTGGAGGCGACGATACCAAAGTCGATCGC